GGCGTAACAATATGGAAAACTCTGATCAACATACCCAGCACAAGGATGAGGGGGGGTGAGAAGGCCAGCGTGGAGTGCAAAGGGTTATCATGAAAACCGCTCAAAAGGGCACATCGTACCACATCTAATTAAGCAAGTAAAAAACGGTGTCAGTAAAGGTGTGATAGGAGAATATTGGAAATGTGAATAGGCCAGGGCAGAATGGGAGATACCATAACTGTTTGGTCGAAGGATCGGCTTCAATTGTCTCTTTGATAAGTTGTAATATCGCGCTAAGAATGGCAAAACGCACTGAAGATGCCGACTACGATGCCGGCAAAACGTCTGGGAATGTATCACGTCCACAGTCCGACTTTGGAAATTATTATGCATACAATGGACTCTGGACAAGATGCGTTCCTCTAAGTCTTCCTACCAATATGACCAAGTTGCGAAAACAAAGTCAAACAACTTTTATACAACGAAAGGGAATGGCGACCACAAAAAAGGCCATAACATCTTGGTTTTCATACCTTCGAATAAAAATTATATTTTAAATTCATATTCATGTAAAATTAAGTCCCAAGTTTGCACTAAGTCAATAAGACTTTCATATGAAATGAAGGTATTAATATCAAGAAAACTAAGTCCACATCACATCTAAAAAATGACGAACAAGATAATTAAATGAAGCAACAAAATAAGTTATAGATAAAGCTCTAAATCGTACCTGTCGCCAAGTCCGAGAATATAGCCAACCATTGACATTGTTGCCATGGAGCGGATAAAAGTGGTTCGTCTTTCAAACCACGCCTGTAAAAAAGCGAAAAGGCAGGGTCAGTTGTGGGAAAATTCCTTTGTGACTGATGCTAGTTGTCCCGAATTCCGATAGTTGGAATTTTGAAACCCAGCCTAACTTCACACATTTCTAAATAAGGCAACAATAAAAATATATTAAATTATGAGGAATTGAATTTGCATAGAAAATGCGTTACAACCCTATCTTCAGGATAGCGGAGAGGCAGGTAGAGCTTTGGAGTGATCTTATAGATAGCAGAATAGTTGGGATTCGACAGCAAGATAGCAAACTTTGGGGATTATACAATAGTCCTCAAAATCGTCACAAAGCAAAAATAATAGGCGATTATTTCAGATCAGAACTAATATTAAAACACAAATAAACCAGTGATGTTTGAGTATCGACATCCATCAAGTTGACATTTAGAGGTCAAGTAACTCCAAAGGTGTGCTAATCTGATCTACTAACTAGGTTACTAAGCGAAGTCTGAATCAAACCTGACTAGAATACACGTAATTACCAGTAAATAACTTGCTAAAAGACAAAGCCATCTTCGTATTTATATCTAAGATCTAAATATTTATTTATCTAGCCACATCATATGATATGCCTTAGTAATCCTCAGAACTGGATCTAATAATAAATTTCCCGTTCTATAAGTAGGCTTAGGAGACTAACAGATGTCTGGGAGACTAATTCGAGGCTAAAGCCCGTGGGTAACTCTCATGATCAAGCCTTTGCTGTAAGGACCATGTCTGTGGTAAAATAGGCCTACTGTCAGCCAACTAGCCTTAGTCTCCGCCGCGTCTATCCTGTTTCTATCCCTAATATCAAGTCTATGACCTCCTATTCCCTAGTCTCTGGTGTGCCAACCAAAAAATGTTGTAGTACTACTTACCTGGATTAGATTCAATGTTGAACCACAACATTTGTGGGTTAGCACACAAGAGACTAGGGCATAAGAGGTCATAAACTTGGTATTAGGGATAGAAACAAGATGGACGCGGCGGAGACTAGAGCTAGTGGGCTGACAGAAGTCGTCCTTGAAGCAAAGGCTTGCACATGAGAATTACCCAAGGGCTCTAACATCAAGTTAGTCTCCGAGATTCAGAGTTTGGGACATAACGCCTCGAGTAGCATAGATGGGGTTGCAGGGATCGAGATAAATACTTGAACGAGGGAGATTGCAGACGGATCCTAAGGGGCGAGGAGATTCTGATAAGACCTAGGGAAGGAGGACTGCGTAACAATATGGCAGAATCTGATCCGCATTCCCAGCACAAGGATGAGGGGGATGAGAAAGCCAGTGTGAGGTGTGGAGAGTTCTCATGAAATCCGCTAGGAAGGGCACACCATACCACATTTAAATAAGCAAGTAAAAATTGTGATAGCGAAGGCGTAATAGGAGGATATAGGATTGGTGATTAGCCCAGGGCGGAAAGGGAGATACACGATTGTTTAGCAGACAATTGGTTAAAGGAGTAGTATGGTTCTAAGAGTGGCAAGACTCACTGACAATGCCGGCGAAACGTCTGGGAATGTACCACGTTCAAGGTTCGACTCTAGAAATTATTATGCATACAATGAACTCCGGACTAGGTGAGTTCCTCTAAGTCTTCCTACCAATAAGACAAATTTAAGAAAACAAGGCCAAAAACTTCTATACAACAAAATGCCACACCATTTTGGTCTTCATACCTTACATATGAATAGGCCTTATAATTCCATTCAATTACATAACGCCTTGCTTCGCAAGTCTCAAGACATAGGTGACTAAGCCAAACTCCCAAGAGTGTCTTGGGTGACACAGTAAAGTTGATTTCAATGAAGCCAAAGCCGCTCCCATATCACAATTATGTCGTGCGATTGTCGATGATGCTAAGTTGTATTTGCTATTACAATCGATTGTACTACTTATTTTCCATTTTATAACTAGGCTTTCAAGACTACCAGTATGCCTTATATAAGAGTTTTGTCCATAATATTTCGTTTAAGGTGATGAAGTACTGGTAGTTTAATTTTTACACAATAAAATGATAAGGCCTCATGTATAAATTACATTTTGGATAGCTTTGCCTCCCATAAGGTATCCTCATCAAGAGTGGACAGGGGTGCCAACCCACAAATGTTGTGAAACTGCTGGCTTTGATTAAGTTCAAAGTTGAACCACAACGTTTGTTAGTTGGCACACAAGAGACTAGGGCATAGCAAGTCAGACTTGGTATTATAGATAGAAAGACGATAGGAGTGGAAGCTAGAGCTAATTTTCTAACAATAGTCGTGATTCAAGGATCACGTCTATAGTCAAACATGTATATTGTTAGCCAAATAGCTTTAGTCTCTACCGCGTCTTTCCTGTTTCTATCTGTTATACCATGTCTATCACTTCCTATGTCCTAGTCTTTTCTCTGCCTCTTCTTGCTCCAAAATCTCCAGCAAAGCGCTTACCGCCTTCTCGCCTGAGATGTTTGTCTACATGGATTGTACATCGAAACTCACCAACAGTTCAGACCCCACCAACCCAATGTTCTGGATCCATTAAGGAAATTCATATGAATTCTTGACGGTATTCGAGAGTCTGCCATTTAATTTCTTGAGCTTCAAGCAAATGAATTCTGCTAGTTTGTGCATTGCTCCATGCTTGTTGTTGACTATTAGTCTTAGCGGATTTCCTTTCTTGTGTATCTTCGGTAGTCCGTAGGCTGTCGGTGGCCTTGCATCATTTTTGATTAAAGATTTAATCATCCATCTGTCAATTTTCCATTATTATGCATTTTCTTGAGCATATTCTTCCGTGTCCCGTTTATCTTCGTGGCTGGATCCTTCCTTAATATTTGATAAGTGATCCGGTCGCCAAGGATACTTTATATTTTCTCCGTGTACTGTTTCCTGTCCATTACAACCGTCGCTCCTCCCTTATCCGCCTAAAGAACTATTTGATCATTCTTTTGTAACCTTTTTCGTATACCAGACAATCGGCTCCTGTGTATCGGTTCTTGATGTGTCAGGATTCGTGGGATTATTTCCAGTTCCATCTCCCGCCCTGTCTCTTCTAAATATTTATCCGTTATGTTGACAACTTCCACCAGAATATCACTATGAACGTTTCCTTCATTAACTGTTGAAAAATGTAACCCCTTCATTAAGAAATTCGTAGTTTTAGAATCAAGAGGGATTGAAGATAGGTTTACTACCTTTGTTCTATCGTTGTCTCTAGCAGTTAATGCCTTCAATAAAGAAACATCAAAATTTGCCCGGGTTGGCTTGGTCTTGAGTTATCTAATTATCCCATAGCTAAGCAATTTCTTGGCATGCAGGTTATTTATCTGATCCCTGATCGTCTGCGACTTCTGGTTGGTCATGCTCAGGAGTTTTTGAAAATCATCCAAAGTGAGAACCCAACTTAGATCATTCCTTAATCTAGATTTAAGATCTATGAACTTAAAAAGCTTACGCCTCTCAGTCTCGTAACTTTCCTGCAATTTCTGGATAGAGGCATGATAAAGTATTTCATTAACTGTGTCCGAACGAGACCTTATTAGATTGCAGAATCAGGGAGTGATACCACAATGTTTGCAACAATTCAAAAAGGCCAAATGGCAGGATTTACATACAATTGTCTTCTTTGTCCAGCTGTAATCAGTGCATTGTTTGGCAATATTACTTCCATAGCTTAATCGAAAGTATGAAGACCAAGATGGTGTGATCTTTTATGTGGTCGCAGTTTCCTTTCGTTGCATATAAGATGTTTTACCTTGTTTTCGCAATTTGGTCAGATTTGTAGGAAGACTTAGAGGAACACACATAGTCTGGAGTCCATTGTATGCATGATCATTCCCAAAGTCGGACCGTGGACGTGGTACATTCCCAGACGTTTCACCGGCATCGTTGTCAGTATCGTCAGTGAGTCTCGCTATTCTTAGTACCACACAACAACTCGTCGAAGAGACAAGTGAAGCCGATCCTTTGATTAAACGTGTGCTAAATAGTTGTGGTATCTGCCCTTTTGCCATGGGCTATTCACATTTCCTATATACTCCTATCACGCATTAACTGTTACAATTGCTACCGAGCTTATTTCGATGTAGCGTGGTGTGCTCCTTTGAGCTGCATTCATGAAAA